AAATAGTCACCAGATAACTCACGACGGAATTCATACAACTTTTTATACTTTCTTCATTAGCTGAATCAAGTTGAAGATAAAAACAAAAACAAAACAAAACAAACCAAAACAACAACAACAATAAAGAAAGAAAAAAGAGATAAAATAACAACAACAATAACAAAAAGAAATCCAATCTAATAAAGCTAGTGCTCAGACCTCGACAACTCGAGGTAAGTCACGGAAATAAAAAAGTCATTAAGGTGAGAGCGCCGGTTTCCATATTTGGAACACCATGATAGTTTTGACATTTCTGCAGCTGTAATTACGACTCTGTCAAGTAATCGATTAAACTTAAGCAGAATATTTCTTTGTTTATCCTCCCCTTTTCCCGAACTCTAAACGCAGCTGGGAAGTAGCCTTCATAGAAAGTAAGAAACACAATCCTTCAGTCCTACAACCTCTTTTCTAGTCCAATTTTTTCTCGCGTCTTAGCCAGAAACTAAAACAGTGAGTGAAGACAATAAATTCGCTACTTCAGTTTGTGTTACCATTCTTCTTACTTCATCCACTGAAAGACAACGCCTGACCGCCATGAGGTTTTAAGCCTTCTTCCTTGACATAAAAAGCACTTACTCTAAGTAATTAATGTGGTTCATCAAAATACATTTTATAAAATCAGTATTCTGATTGTTTATGGATTGTTTATTTTTCGTACAAAACAAAACAAACGGTTATTGCTCTAAACATTCCTAAGTTTGAATGGAACGGATCCAAGAGATCAGTTTTGGCTTTCTGTAATACTGTTTCGTTCTGTTAGTTCCATTTTCATATCCGGTGTTTATTCACATTGTTAACGACGCAGCTATGGTAGAAAACTCGTTCTTTCTTTATTATGAAAAAAGTGTTTAACTACTTGTACATTGTTTTATCTCACACAGAGTGATCAATACTCAAATGATTAAATTGTCGACATTGTAGTATTGTTAGAGCGCATTTGCACATTATGCATTAGTGCATGAGTGACTGTGTGTGTTTGCACGTGCGTGTCTATGTGTGTGTTTGCGTATGCATGTGTGTATGTGTGTATGTGTGTGTGTGTGTGTGGGTGTGTGTGTGTGTGTGCGTGTGTGTGTGTGTGTGTGTGTGTGTGTGTGTGTGTGTGTGTGTGTGTGTGAGTGAGCTATGTTTCGACAAGACCTCCAAAAAGAATGACTCGTCTTTTTTGGAACAAAGGCATAGAGAGTTGTGATGATGAGGATTTTGAAAAAGCACATTGATTCTTTTTCTAAAAGCATGTTTATTCTGAAAGAAATAAGAGAGTAATTTTGCATTATAAAGCAACTTCAAAGACCCTCCCACCTTTTTTTAATGGCTGGACAACAATAAACCCCAAACAAACCACACAACCGATCAAACTGGCGTTTGTAGGAATCCAAATGATTTCAAAGGAATGCGTTAATAGTTGACCCCCCCCTCCCCCATCCCTCCCTAAGGCGAAGCAGAGTTTATCG